AAGCAGTGTGGCAGAGTTGGACAGTGGCAGGTAAGCAGAGGAACTGGGTTATTAGGAAGGGAAGGAGGGCACTTTCTACAACCACCCTCCCCTTCTCTGCTCTATGGATGAAGAACTAGAGATGTTGAACAACTGGATGCAGTGACCACAGCATTAGTGTGCACTGGCCTTGTACACACAGAACCAGGGAAATATGTTACAATCAATGCGTGTGTGTACTTGACATTTCATACATCACTCTTAGAGTCCGTCATTTCATCAGTCACTTTAAAAGTAATGTGTGTGCATGACCGCTGCCTCCCCTTGTTTACCTTCCTAGGAGGGAGGAATGTCTAACTTTTCAAAATCTCTCCCTAGTTTTGCCACTGAGTCATTCTGTGAGTCTGTGATTTTTTTTCATCATTTATGTTCATTCTGTCTGCCTTTGTTACTATTATATGGAAAAGTATTTATTCTTATTTGGTAAGGTTGTATATATGGTATCATATCATTTTCTCTCTAAAATGTTATTTATTATAGTGAAAAATGGAAATAATCTAAAATTCTAACAATAGGAGGTCAGAACCCAATTAAGCACCTTGGCCTTAGCCATGTGTTTGCCTCTGCTTTTCTCCTTCAGTGAGGAGAAGCCTGCATTTATTTCAAGGCCAGAGGGCACAAATCTAAAGGGTACAGACCAGTAAAGTCACATTTATATTCAGATCACCACTTCCTGACCAAAATGTAGGACACTTGTGCACCCACAGAGTCTCCTTGGGACGTCCCAGTCCATATATTTCTTTCACAGATGACACTTACTCCAGCGACAGTCACCACTTATTTGCCATGTCTGTTGTTAGCACCATGTAGTAGAATCACACAGGGAGGGACTGTGGTGCCTAGTTCCATTTGCCTGATATAAAACTTCTGTGGCAGCCATTCCCAAGTTGCATTCTCCATGTTTGGGCTGTTATGTCTACAAAGCTGCTGGGGATATTCTTTTATAAGTCTTTTAATTGATATGTGTAATAATTTCTCATGAGCTTTCTACTTGTTTACTTTCTACTTTCTACTTGTCTATTTCTTACAGACTCCTATAAAAACATATATTTGGGTCTTGTGTTTCCCAGTCTGATAGTCTCAGCCTTTTACATAAAATGCTTAGATCAGTTACATTTAATGTTATCATCTATATAAATGGATTTGGTCTTTCCTCATAGGATGTGTTTTAATTATTACATCCATACTTTTGCCTTTGATATTACTTTCCATTCTTCTTCTTCTTTTTTTTTTTTTTGGTACCCGGGATCGAACTCTGGTCCTTGTGCTTGTGCAGCAGGTGGCAAAACCACTGAGCTAAATCCCCGACCCCAGCTTTTCCATTCTTCTTTTAGATTAATCATGGTTTTTAAACTTAGTATTTTATTTTATCTCTGTTAGCAGTACTATAGTTACATATTTGTGGTATTATTCTTTTAGTGAATACTTCAATATTCATCCTTAAATTACAATCTACTTTGATACATTTATTATGTGAAAATGAATGCAAAATTTCACAACTATTATTTGTGTATTTTCCCCTTGACCTTTTATGCTATTCTCGTCATGTATTTTACTTTACAAATGTTATCGAACCCACAAGATATTTCTATTTAGCATTATCTTAAGTAGCCAATATTCTTTCATATTTATGTACCTTTACTATGTCTGTAGCTAGTCCTTTTAGCAGCTTTTGTCTGGGATTACTTTTCTCCAGAATGATTTTCCTTCAATATTTCACCAAGTACAGATTTCATGTGTAAAATATCTTTCCAGGGTTTGTTCATATAGAAATATCTTTATCTACAACTCCTTTTGGAACACATTTTCACTGAGCATAAACTCCCTGCTTAGCAGCACCACCTGCCTTCTTTCAAAGATGCTGTTCCACTGTTTTTTGACTTACATATGTTTCCTTGAATAGGCAACACACAATCTTACTACTGATGTGTGATTTCCTCTGTAGGTAGTGAGTGTTCTTCTCGATGGCCACTTATTTCTCCTGTATCTGTGGAATCAGAAGTTGGAGCATGATTTGCCTCGATTTCCTTTCCTTTCCTTCCCTTCCCTTCCCTTCTTTCCCTTTTCTTTTATTTTTTGCCCACCTAAACTTGTTCAGTGTCTTGAATCTGTAGTTTGGTATCTTGCATAAGATTTTGAAATGTCAATGGAAGCACCTCTTCTTTTTCTCCTTTCCTTCCAAAGCTCAGTTAAACATACATGAGATCAACAGGAAGATTTGTTGTTATCTTTTATATTCTATCCTTTATTTCCAATTTTTTTTCTCCTTTCTCTCTTTTCTTCTTTCACTTTGGATGTGTCCTTTTGAGTTTCAGTGTTGATTTTTCAGTTTCTTTGAGCTCACATTTTCTGTCTTCCACTCTGTCCAGTCTGCTCTTGTGGGGACCCAATAAATCCTTAAGCTAAGATATTATGCTTTAAGTTTCTATCATGATAATTTGGCTCTATAAGGTATTATAATGATTTCTAAAGCTCTCATCTTTCCTCAACTCTTTTATTTTTCTTGTATATTTATAATAGCTACTTTAAAACCTGTGTCTAATTCCAACATCTGAATGATAACCAGATCTTTTTCTGTTATCTGATTTTTGTTAGGATTATCAGTCATATATTTTATCCTATTAACTTTTCTCCTTTAAAATATTAAAGCATTTATAGAAGATAATTTTCAAGACCAAATTTATATTACTTTCCCCATAATGTCTACTCTTTCTTTTGTTAGGCAAATCATGTGAAGGATGGACAACTGCAATCTGGTCAGAAATTGAGGCAAGTTGGTTTCTTGATGAATTCCTTGGGATTTTCTCTGTGCAAGAAGGAACATGTCTTCTGGTAATGAGAACAATTTTACCCCTTCTCCTCCAAAGTGAGTATCTTCTGCTTTCTCTTGTGTAATTGCCAACTCTTATATCTTAGTGCAATGTGGAATAAAAGTGATGAGAGCAGCCATCCTTTCCTAATGCCTGATATCAGAGGGAAAACTTTTAGTCTTTCAGAATTAAGAATAATATTTTCAGCCAAGTGTGGTGGCAAACATGTGTAATTTGAGTACTCTGGGAGACTAAGGCAGGAGAATTTCAAGTTCAAGCCTAGCGTGGACAACTTAGCAAGAACCTGTCTCAAAATAAAAAAAAAATAAAGGGCTGTGCATGTGTGGCTCAATGCAAAGATCTTGGGTTCAATCCAAATGCAAAAAAGTTAAAAAAGAAAAAATAATATTTTCTTTCATTTTTTTCATAGATACCTTTTATTAGGTTGAGAAAGCTTTCTTCCATTACAAGTTTGTTTTGAGTTTTAATCATGAATAAGATTTTAATATTGCCAAATGCTTTTCTATTTGTGTCTGTTGGGAGAGTCTTGTAGGTTTCTTCTTCCTTCCTCCTAAAAGGGTTCATATTAATTTTTAGATGTGACACCCACCTGCCTTCTTGACCAATCCTCCTTGATCATGGTGTTCAATCTTGCATATGTTCTTGGATTTTGTTTGCTATTATCTTTCAGGAGTTTTTGTACTTTGTTCGTGATGGAATTGGTATGTTGGCCTGTAATATTCTTTTCTTGTAATATCTTGTGATGTCCTCTCTCCCTGGTGGACTCCTGTTTTCCAGACAGGCCTTGGGTGTAGCTATGACCTTCTCAGTTTGCTTCTCCCAATGTGGAACCTGTGTTTCAGGACAGGTTGGCATTTGGTATCAGGGTGACAATGCCTCATAGGATGGGTTGAAAAGTGTCCCATACTTGTCTACTTTGTGCAGTAAACCATCATTTCTTCTTTAAATGACATTGGTGCCACCCAGATATTGACATCTCCCTTCTCATCTGTGTCCTTGTTGCTTATCTGTGGACAGGTCCATCCTCTTCCCTGTGTGACACCTCTGAGGTTGTTCCTGGTGGAATCAGGATACACATGGGCACTTGGGGATGATGGAGACCAACTGGGGCCCTCCCTTGTGTTCCCCATTCTGTCTGTTAAGCCTTATGCCTCTGTAAGCACCACACTCAGCTGTTGGCTTTCACAAGTCATGGGCTTACTTCTCTATTGTTTTCACCAATGCTACAGGGTACAAATGATCCACTGATTTTGGGCTCCTTTACAGCAGTAATCATTGAAGTCTCTTGTGACTTGGGGCTTTTTTTTACCCACCCCTCTCCTTGGTTTCCCTGATAAACTGGCTGATGCCGGGCTCAACTTGTTCCTCTATGGAGCTAATAATCTCCATTTAGTTTCCTCACTCAGCTGCTTTGAAGAAGGCCGAGATCTCTGATCTAATGTGTCCTTCCCACTCCCTCACCCCCAGAACAAATCTCTACATTGGTGCTTGGAACAGGAGCAAGCAAGGGGTCCCCTCTCCCTGGTGAATTCCTGTTTTCAGGCAGGGTTTGAGTTGTAGCTATGACCTTCTCAGTCTGCCTCTCCCAGTGTGGAACCTGAGCTTCAGGAAAAGGTGGGATTTGGGTTCCACAGGGATGTAGGGATCTTGCTCTTCTCTGACCCAGTGGGATCTCCATCCCAGGGGTGGGCTGTGATGTAAGTGGGCCTGGGAGTTGTTCTCACCTTTTGCAGATGAGGAGGTAGTGAGAGAAAGAAGCCTGAGGAAATACTTCAGTGCAGTTGTCTATAGTGCTCAGCCCTTGGGCCCCTTCTTGAAGCCCCCAGGTTGTGGGCTACCATGTAGCACAGGGCACTGTACCCCGTGGAAGGCTGTGGGGCCAGGACAGTGACTTGTGCCCACTGTTTCTAGTCTCTGTCCCAGCCACCGCCCATGACAATAGAGACATGGCTGCTGGGCTCACACCTGGGTTAAAAAGTAGTGAGAAAGGAGAAGGAGAGTCCTCTCCCCTGCAGTATGGATCTAGGAATTTATAAAGGAAAGGGTGCATTTTCATGGTAAAAGTGGTGTCATTCTGGAAATAATGGGGGACCTTGTGTGGTGGGGTCCCTAAGAGCAGTTAGGAGAGGTGCAAACCCAGCTCCACAGATTCATCCTCCCAGTGCCATTTTTATCCGGTGCTCTTAAATTCGGTGTCCAGGCTATTCCAGAAGCCTCCCAGGAAGTATCTGGAAGAGAACTCAGTTTCCTGTTGCTGAAACTCAAAGCACTGACAGCTCGAGAACTGAAGGATGGTTGTGCAACACA